AAGTATAAATCTTAGAGGGTAACGAGTAAAAGACAGCGTTCTATATACGCTATAGCTTATTTAAGTAGCTTATAACGCCCTTTAGCCTCTTAAAAGCGCCTACTACCTTCTAGCGTTATATTAATAATATACTTTAAGACTTTCTTAATAAGTTCGCTTTTATATATATAGATAATATCCTTATTTATATAAGCGGCTCTTATAAGGACTATATATAGAAAGTATAAAGGGTCTTAAAGCGCCTTTAACTTTATAGGCTCTACCTTAACTTAAATAAGTACGAATTTAAGGTTAAGAGGGTTAAGTACCTAGGCTTTATTATCTATATAGGCGTAGGTATATAGGCGGATCCTATAAAGATCTAAGTAATCTAAGACTAGGCGGCCCTAACTATATAAATAAGTATATAAAGCTTCCTTAGGTTCGCGAACTATTATAGGATATTTATTAAAGGCTTCTTTTATATTATAAGTCCCTTAAATAAGATTACTAGGAAATAGACCGCTTTTTATTAAGGGCCTATATAGGAAGGAGCGTTTTATACGCTTAAGGACTTATTCTTATAAGCCTTAGTACTACTTTAGTAAGACTTTAACTAGTCTAAGTTAGTTAAAGTAGACTATAGCGGCTAGGTACTTAGAGGAACGCTCTCTTAAGAGGTAAATAAGTAAAAGTAACTAATAGCGTTCTACTCTTATAAGCTAACCTTAGTAAAGTAAAATTATACTATTTATAATAAAGATATACTAATAATTATTAGCTACCTTAAGTAATAGTAAGTAGAGCTTTAAAGCTATAAAAGCTTTAAGGTTCTTATAGACTATAAGAACCTTAAGTACTTTATAACCTACTAGTACCTCTTAGAGCGGTAAGCTTACTAGGTAAAGTATCTCTTATACTTTAACTTCTTAATTAAGTACTAGCTAAAGTAGGACTTTATAGTCCTAAATATACTTTCTTAAAAGGATTAAGACCGGCTAACGGGAGAGGATATTAAGGCCTAGGATCTATAGCTTATCCTATAAAAAGCGCTATAGACTTATATAAGAGCTTCCTTAGTAAAGGAAAGTATAGCGCTAATAGATAAGCCTTCCCTTATACCTTTACCTTAGCCCGGTAAGAAGGGATAGACTAGCCTAGGGGCGTATATAGCGTAGGTATTTTAAGATAAGGTCCTTTAGCGCTTATAAGATAGGATATTATCTTTAGACTATACCTATAAAAGTAAATACCGCGCCGTTAAGTTTAGCGCTCGACGCCTTAATCTAAAGCTAAAGCTAAAGGTATAAGTAGCTAACTATTATATTAACCTATAAAGGTATCTATATTAATAAGGGAGACTATAGGTACCGGGCGCGCTATATACTATAGAAGCTAGGGAGAAGGATAGACTGCTAGAGCTAAATAAATAGAATAAGCTTTAAGGGAAGCTAGTCTAGCTCGTCTATAACTTTAGTATCGTAGGCTACTTAGGTAGGTAGGGTATAGTAGTAGGCCTCGCGAGGGATTTCTACTAGCCCCTCCTATAGTACTATATTTACCGCTTCCTTTATAACTATAATATTTATAGCTATATTAAGATTTAAAGGGCATAGCTTAAGGAGCTACTTAAGTAGCTTTTAATACCTAACTAGTTTTATATATATATATAAATAGACTTTATAATAGACCTCCTACTTATAAAGGGCAGTAACTACTATATATAAGTAATTAAGGACCGACTTAGTAAGTCTATAGTATTAAAGCTAATACTATCTATAGATATAGAGTCTTATATAAAGCGCTTCCTATAGTACTAGGCCCGCTTATATAGCTAGCTAGCCTTTATTATAAGTAATAAGGGATCGAATTAAACTAGCTACTTTTAGTAGTACCTATACTAGCTACTTTAGATTATATAGCTACTTAGTATAGTATATTACCTATTAAGTACTAGTCCCTTAGTACGGGGCTAGTATATTAACCTTACCGTCTACTTAGATCTAGTATAGGTCTAATAAGTAATTAAATAGACTAGCTACTATATATAATTAAATATATTATATAGACTAGCTACTATATATTATTATACGCATTAAATATAGACTAGCTACTAGTCTAATAAGTTAAAGTAAGAGTAGTAATAACTATCTATATTCTTCTCTACCCGCTTAAAATCTAGCGGGTTCTCTATCCTTTATATATACTATAGCGAGCGTAAGACCTTACTTAGGGCTTTAACCGAGTAATATCTTAACCTTATAATTATACGATAGTAGTACGGTATATTAGCGGTATTTCCTAGTATTTTCCCTAGGTAAGTATAGGTATTTCTCTATAATTTCCCCGCTATATTCTTATAGTAACTTCTTAGGGAAATATTAATATAGTCCTTAAAGAACTATTATTACTTAGGAAATTATAGTATATTCCCTATATAATATATCCCTAGGGGAAATCTTTATAAAATATCTCTATAATCCGCTTAGTTATTATTTCTAGGAATTCTAGGTGATTTCCTAGAGTTTGCCCGGTAGCTTCTAAGTTCCTTCTTCTACGGGGAGCCTTAAGGAGTTAGGGGTAACTTCCTTAAGGGAAGCAGATATCGTTCTAGGTACCTAGATTATCGACTATAAGGTATCCTATAATATTACCTATAGACTAATAGAGGGCCTAAGAGGGTTAACTAAGAGGTATAGGCTTACCTATAAGCTATTATAGCCTATAACTAAGTAAACTAAGACTAGTAGCTCCCCACGGCCTAACTTATATTAAATAGTAAACTATATACCTTTATTAAGATAGCTTCTTTCTTTATAACGTATAGCTTTAAACTACCTTTACTAGTTCCCTTTACTATAAATATAGTAGTAAAGTAGTATAATAATTTATTATTAAAGGGCCGCGCCTTTATATTTATATAAAAGCTATAAGAAACTATAGATTATTATTAATCTATAATAGCTACTATAGTATAAGATTAAGATCGGTATACTAATAAGACTAAGGCCTTAGTAGATAGGTTTATAGTAAGAGATAAGGTATAGCTAGACCTCTATAACTATAGGTCGGTATAGCTAAAGAAGAAGCTTAACTAACTATATATAAAGTCTATAATATAAAGGGTTATTAGCTTATAGGTTATAGAGCTTAATAGTCTCCTAAGAAGGGTTTATAATAAGATTAATATAGACCTCTTTTATAGAGCCTCCTTTAACCTACTACTTAGATAAGAAGTAGTAGACGCTTAACCGCCTATAATTAAAGTAGAAAGAGAGGATAAGTTTAAGGTTAAAGAGATATAGGCCGCGCGCTAGAAAAAGGTTAATAGGGGGAAACGCTAGAAGGTCCTTATTAAGTAGCGCGGGTATCTTAACCCTATATAGGAACCTATATATAAGTATATAGGAACTATAGCCCTTAATAAGTTTAAAGCCTTATTTAAACTAGTAAACGAGAATAATAAACTAGCGGACTATTAATAATAGCCTAAGCTAAGAATATAAAGTAGGTAAAGTAAAGTAAGTAGTTATAATAATATAAGTATAATAATATAAGCGGAGATAAAAAATAGCGTTTATTTTAAAGTAAAGCCTTTAGACTACTTAGACCTACTCTTTATCCTTATCGTTATCCTTATCCTTATCCTTATCGTCCTCCTTTACCTTATTAGCGGCAGCGGCGCTCTTTAAGGCGCTTAGGCGGCCTTTTAGGCCCGCGAGCTAGTTAGCGGTAGCGGCGGCTCTAGGGGCTCTAGGGGTAAGAGGGGCCTAGCTAGTAGTAGCGGCGGGGGCGGGGGCGGGCATAGCTAAGGGGACCGCCGATAAGGTAACGGAGGTAGTATCCTTAGTACTAAGAGAGTTAATAGTAAAAGTAAAAGAGCTAGAGGAGAGGAACTTATTTAGGGATAAGGCCCTAGCGCTTAAGGGCGCGGAGATTACGGTAAGTAGCGGCGGCGGCGGTAAGGCGCTTCTTAGTAGCCCCTTATACCTACCTATACACGCCGGCCTTCTAAGCTAATACCGTAGTAAGTAAGACGGGAGGCGCCGCCTTATAAGCGCGGCCGGTATACGTATACTAGTAATAACTACCGTTATAGCGGCGCTTAACTTAGTCGGCGTAAGGGAGCACTTATAACGCGTACTATATATAAGGGGCCGCGCGGGCGGCTCTAGCCTATACTTAGCGTTTATACTTTAAGAAGTTAGCGGAAAATAGCTACTATACTCGCTAGGTAGCGGACTTATAAGGGTAGTAAAGGTAGAGGCGGGGGAAGAAGGGCTAGGCGTTATAGCCGGCGGCGGGGATAGCATCGTTACCTAGAAGGGCGATATAAGGGCGGCTAGCGTAGTAGAGGTAGAGGCGGCGGCGGTAGGCGCGGTCGCGGGGGCGCGGGTAAGAGTAGCGGTAGCGGCGGAGCTATTATCGGCTATACTTAGCACGGCGTCGATAAATAACTCTATATACTCTAAGAAGGAGGAAGTAAGGGAGGGGGAGGTAGATATATCTATCGCGGAAGTTAGTATTATAGATTATAGCCTCCCGCTCTATAAAGTAAAGAACTTATTAGTTAAAGTTATTATTATTAAGGCTATTATTACTACTATAGCTATTACTATAAATATATATTAATAAAGCGGCCTATATAGCTAGGAATAAACTAATACTTTAGGTAGAGCGGAACTTACTTATTACTACTATTTATCGCACGGAGGATGAGCAAGTGGGCATAAAGATCAGGGACTGGAAGACTCTTGATTCTGCTATCTAAGGTGGGAAAGAGGCGAGATCTTTATAGACTGCCTGAATATGAGAATGGAAGGGAATGGTAGTGAATGGAAGCATCTGATCAGATCATCTGAAGCCACTGATGCGTTGATGATGCCTCCTAGAAGTTTCTGTGGAAATGTGGAAACGGACTGTGCGAATAGGGGGTCAGACTGTTGGAGGCTGATATCCTATGTGTGACATACCCCCCCAGGTTGTGCTGGCTAGTGGGCAGTGCAAACTGAAGAAAGAAACTAGATCCCTAGCAACGTAGAGATATCGACGAGACCGAGTTGTTTGACGAAAGTAGCAAATTTCTGGCCTGGCAGAGCTTTGGTGAGGCCGTCTGCAATCATCTGGGAAGTAGGCGTATAAGTGAGCTTATAGAGGCCTTTCTCAAATGCCTGCCTAGCCCAACAGGTGTGGATGTCAACGTGACGAAGGGCTGTGCGGAGGCGTGGAATATCCTGTGTAACAAGACGAATGGTTTGAAGGTTGTCACATTGGATCGTCGGAATTCCATCAAGCTTAAGAGAGCTGCTCAAAGAGACGGAAGGTTGCAATAGTCTCCTTTGCCGTGTGCGTGAGAGCAAGCAATTCAGCTTCTGTGGAAGAAGTGGTGACTGTATCCTGTTTACCGGCTTTCCAAGCAATAGGGCCACCGAAGAGGGTAAGGATTGAACCCTGGGATGACTTGCGAGTCTCTTTATTATCAGCGAAAGCAGCGTCGGATGCGCTTTGGAAATCGCTATGATGTTGAGCGTGGAGCTGAGGAACAACATCCTCGTCGAGGCAGGGTTTTCCTGAAACTGGATGGCGAGATACCTAGTGGCGTAAAGGTACTCGATCAGATGGTCTGCGAGCTTGGAGTGATGCTCGGAAGGGTTGTTGAGGAATTCAGCTAGTTTAGACGCTGGCTTGGCTATGTCCGAGCGGGTGATAGCTGCGGCGTAGTTCAGTGATCCAACTTTGCTCTGGTATAGCTGAATTTGGTCTGGAGAAGCCTGCCCTGTGTGCGGCTGGACTTCGTTGCACGGGAAAGGGCTCCTCTGAAGTGGTCACGCCGTTGAAGGTCGAACCGTTGAACCATCCTTTCAATGTAGGAGTCTTGGCATAGCCAAAGCTTCCTGTTGGGTCTGTCACGCAGGACTCTGATACCAAGGAACCATTGTAATTCCCTTGGTCTGTCATCGCGTACTTCCTCTTGAGGGCTGCAACCATCTCATCAGCTGCGTCCTCGTTTTCCTTGCGATAGAGGAAAACAATATCGTCAACGAAGAAGAAAACAGTGAGCCAGTCGTTCTGGAAGATGCAGGTTCTGTCGGGACACTGTGTAAGACCAAGCTCTCTGAATGCAGCAGTGAGTTCCTTCTGCCAAAGAAGAGGGGACCGTCGGAGGCCATAGAGGGCTCGCATGAGGCGAAGAGCCCATCCCTGTCTGTAGTATCCGTCTGGGAAGGCTACATAGACCTCCTCCTCGTCTTCTAAGAGGGCGTTTGTGAAGGCATTAACTGCGTCGAGCTGTCGGGTCTCAAGGTCGAATTTGGCGGTGATGGCCATGAGAATCCGGAAAGAACGTCCTGCAAGGGTTGCTGCATAGGTGTCCTTGTCACCTAGCTGTTGAAGATCTCCTCGAACACAAAGACGGGCTTTGAACTTTGTAAGAAAGCCATGCTTGTCGAACTTATACTTAAAGACCCAGGTAAGTGGCAAAAGCTTGCCCGTGACCTGGTCTCTGGGGACCGCTCTGAAGGTTCCTCTCTGTTGGAGTGCTTTCCACTCGGCGTGGGCTCCTTCTCTGAACTGAGGACCAAATCTGTGGGTGCGAAGTTCCTTATACGTCGTAGGTTCGGGAGGAAGGTGTCGTCTGTGAAGTTTTTCTTCTCTGCCGAGAAAGAAAGAGCTGTGGAATTGACCCTTAGTGTTGGTCGAAAAGCACTGAGCTTGCGAGGCTTTGGAGTGCGGGCTGAGCGCCGTGGCTGAGAGTCACGGACCGGGGTCCGGTGTCGGATATGGGTGCTGAATGTCATGAAACTCATCCTGATCATCCGAGTCCTCATGATCAGATGGTTCGGGTTGTACCACAATCGTGGTGGCGTCTCCTTGGTCTGAGGTTGAGGAGATTGCTCAACGGGGTCAGGTTCAGGTTCATCGATTTGAGTGGGGATTTCCTCGTAATCCGACTCGTCCTCGATGTGGGCTGGAAGCTGTACTTCCACGCGCGGCGGATAGGTTCTGGTGGCTGATCATTTCCGTCATAGAAGATGCTTTCATTGAAGGTCACATCTCGGACCCTTCGGACTTCTGATGTGGACGGAATCCAGATCCTGAAAATGTTCGTGGAATCATATCCAACGAGATAACCGATTTCTGTGTGAGGGTCGGTCTTTAGGTCCTTCTTCTGTCTGTTCTGAAGGGCCTGGGGTGTCAAGGGATAGGCTCTGCAGCCGTATGCCTTGAGAAACGTGATGTCAGGCTGGTCTTGCTGGTAGCCTATGTCTCTGTTGTTGTCTCGCAGCCACTGATGAAGCAGCTGGAAAGGCGTTCGAAGCTGTGGTTCTGCATGGGCGATCTGTTGTGCAAAAACACTGCAGCTTTCCAAGTCTCTGGCCAAAGATCAGATGGTAAATTGGCATCAATTCCCATTGTTCTGGCCTGGGCAGATATTACCCCCAGATCGCTCTGCAGAACCGTTTTGAGCGGGAGTGTAAGGGGCAGAAGGTTCATCTTGAATCCCCTTTTCCTCGATCCAGCTCTCATACGCACTCTGAAGAGAACGATCGTTATCACGGTGGATAATGCAAATGTTGAGATTCCATTGGCGTTGAATCATTGCCTCATGGTTTCTCAAAGCAGTCATAACGGACCCTTGTGTCGCGTCATTCAGAAGGTAGATGAAGATCATGCTTGTAAATTCATCTTTGATAAGAAGAACAGCTTCCTTGCCGTTGAATGAGGTGTTCATACTGAAGATATCAACGTAGATTCTCCAGAATGGTCTGGGGCTCGGTTTTGAGGGGTTCGGCGAGACGACCTTCTTCCCTTCCCAAGGGAACACGCGGTGCAATCGATGGTAACTGGGCCTTTGATCTTCGAACCCGTCGTGTTCTCAACAAGATGCTCTAGGGCTTGAGCGTTCAAGTGACCTAGGCGCTTATGCCAAAGCGTAGCATCTGCTGTTTTCACTGCGCGAGGTGCAGATGAAGATGTGAAGTTGGAGGCGTGAGAGTCCTCCTTAATCGGGTTGAACTCGATGACCGGTTGACGAAAGCGGCGTTTCGTATGAAATATAATCTGATCGTCTTTAGAGACGCGTCCAGATAGTGGATTCCAGTTGTATCCCTTCGCAAGAAAGCGGTCGAGGATGCGATGTTGGTGTGGAATTTTGGCACGAAGGCAACTTCGTTGAGCTGAAAAAGTCCTCCTTCTTCAAGCTTCATACGGACTGTGCCGTAGCCAAGGATCTGAAGTTGACTATCGCCTGCAAAGAGCTCTTTTGGCTCTGCAAGGGCGGTGTAGTCAAGAAAACGGGATCGGTTGTTGCAAATGTGTGTGTCTGATCCGGAATCAAGGATAAAGGAGTCATACAGCGGGTAGACTGCCTTTCCGTCGAGAAACTGGTTGATGGAGGTGTTGAGGAGGCGGTGTGTTGTCAGGAGCTGGTAGAAGACCGGCAAACGCTGTGCCTTTAACGGAGGAGTCGGACGATTTCTCCATTTCCTTCTTCTTGAAGTCTTGTGCTTTCTCCGTCATCTTCTTTGCCCATGGATTGGAGTCGAGGATTTCTTGATCTTCTTCTCAACCTTCTGATCAGGAGTCCAGCCATCAGGCCGAGCTGATTTGATGAGATAGAAGCAATCTACGAAGCGGTGATATTCTCCGCAGACACACATAGGAACACCATCAGCGTTCTTGCTTGAAGACCACTTAGGCTTGTCTTTCCTCTCGATTTCTCTCCCTTGCCTTGGAAGGCAGCTCCGAATGATCCTTTGCTGTTGTTGGCGGCCTTGATTCGGTGAGCTCGTTCAAAGATCTCACTGATCTTAATGCCGTCCGGGAAGTCGGTCTTCCACTGAGGCTTGCCGAATACGGCCTCGTCTTCCATTTTGTTGACCCAATAGTCTGTGAATGGGGCGTTGATGGACGAAACAGCCTGTAGGAAATCTTGGGTAGGGCGAAGGTCCTGGACATCAGGAAGCCCTAATTGCTTTGCCTCAGTGAGGACTTTCTGCCATTGGGTGACCCAAGCTTCGATCTTGGTCCTGTTTGGCGACTGAAGGGTGGAACGATAACGCTGAACAACTTCCTCTCGAGTGCCCAGTCGGTTGGGGCCACACGAGCCTGAAGCAAGGCAAGTTGCTTTGCAACGTCGTGTTCCTCGGCAATGGTGCTGTAGTAGTTGCCGATGGTCTTGACGATGTGTTGTTGAAGGCTGGCGAGTGCCTTCACTTGATCCCTATACCCTTGAAGCTTCGAGCGGTATTGGGTGTGGAGGAATTCGAGACGGCGAAATTCCTCCGAGGTCAGATCCACGAGATCAGATGCTTCGTGGTTGATTTGTCGGAATGTTGGTTCAACTGGCTGCTGAAGAACCGGCTTACCCTCCTTGACGGCAGGGTCCAGAAAGTCCCAAAGACTGTGGGACGTGGCGAATTTCTTGATGATAGAAATCCATTGTTTCCAGTCGCAAGGGCCGTTGAGCACGGTGCCCTTGGAAGAGCCATCAAGATCTAGAGCTGAGCTCATTGTGGAAGCTATTCTGCGCAGCGGAGTGAACAAGAATAAGATACCCAGTCAGTGGCAGACCGGGCTCATAACTATCGCACGGAGGATGAGCAAGTGGGCATAAAGATCAGGGACTGGAAGACTCTTGATTCTGCTATCTAAGGTGGGAAAGAGGCGAGATCTTTATAGACTGCCTGAATATGAGAATGGAAGGGAATGGTAGTGAATGGAAGCATCTGATCAGATCATCTGGAAGCCACTGATGCGTTGATGATGCCTCCTAGAAGTTTCTGTGGGGAAATGTGGAAACGGACTGTGCGAATAGGGGGTCAGACTGTTGGAGGCTGATATCCTATGTGTGACACTATTACTATAGTTAAAGAAGGAGGAGAAGGAAAAAAAGGAAAAAAAGGGAGATACTACTTTATATACCCTTAGGTAGAGGAGGCTGCCTAAGGCTAAGGGGATAGGTAACCTAAGGCTTATATAAGTCTAGGCCGGCCGCTAGCTACCTAAGGGTATATATAATAAGTTATACTTTTATTTAAACGGCTAGCTAGCTAATAAGTATAGAGCCCGGTTTTAGCTACTTAGGCTAATAGGCGCGGGGATAATAAAGCTAGTAGGGCTAGTATAATTAATAAGAAAGGGTAAGGTAAAGCTAGCGGTATAAGCTTAATAGTATAAAAGCTATTAATTAAGTAACGCCGCGCTATACTTAAGGGAGGGTATTATATAAAAGTCTTTAACTATTATAGGTTATAAGCTTAGGCTATAGCCTAAGCTATATAGTTATATATAAAAGGCCGGATCTTATATATATATATATAGGCTAGCCGCGTATAAGAGAGCTCTATATAGCTTATTAATATTATCTTATAAACGGTACTTATATATATACCTTTACTTACTTTATAATACTATTTACTACTTTATATATTATAAATCTAATCTTATAGTCCTAAGAGTATACCTTATACTTATTAAGGTAGTATCTTTCTTTAATATAATAAAAGTATCTCTTAGGCTAGTTAAAAGTATTAACCTAAAACTATATATATTAATTAAATAGGTAGTAAAATCTAATAGTATTTATACTACCTCTTTATCTATAACTTAAAGAGTAGCCTTTACTATTAATATGTTTTTATTCCTTATTAAGCTAGTTAAATATCTACTCTTACTAGTAAGTAAGGTTAATCTTTATATCTTTAAAAGCTTTTATTAGGTCTAAGATCTCCTTTATAAGCTATCTAAGTTTCTTATTTATTTTCTTTAACTCTTTAAGAAGTTTTTCTTTACCTTTATTAGATTTAGCTTCCTTTTTTACTTTTTTAATTTCTTTAAAGAGCTAGTCTTTCTTTAGGTTCTTAAGCTTTTAATTATAGCCTTTAAATACTATATCTTATTACTTAATATCTTAGTAAGGTACTAAGTAGTTATTAATTATATAGATAAGGCTTTTATATAAGAGTTTTAAGATAACTTTAGATATCTTTTTATTTCTCTTTATAATATTAATAATAAGTTCCTTTAGTATTATATAATAGATAAAGTATAACTAAACTATAGATTCTTCTTAGCCGTTAAGTTATACCTTATACTATAAGTATAAGTAGAAACTAAGCTATTCTATAACTTTTATAATAGTCTTTAGCTTTTTAGTATTATAATAGTTTAAGTAGTTATTAATAGTTTCTAGTTATTTAATATTATATATATAGTAGTATTAAAGGAGTCTTTTCTTTACTTCTTCTTAGGTAAGTTTACTTATAAGAATTTTAATAGTAAGGGCTTATATAAAGGAGATATAGACTTTAAGCTAGTTTATTTTATCCTTATTATAAATACGGTTAATATATATCTCTTATTTAAACTTCTTAAGGAATTTAGTTATATTTTTACTATTAAGTTTACTAATAAGTAAGAGTTATAGTTAGTAGAGTCTTCTTATAAGGTTATCTTAGCTTTTAGTAAGTATATCTCTAAGTCTATTAATAATCTTATTAATATCTATCTTAATTCTTTTTATATCGCTAGTAATAAGATTAAATAATCCCTCTTAATAGCTAGCGTTTCTAGATATAGTATACTTATAGATTATAAGGTTATAAAATTTAAAGTTAAAGTTTTTAGAGTTAAAAGATATTTAATTATAACTATCTTATTACTTACTTTCTTATTTATTAGTAAGAGGTAAGCGTTCTCTATAAGCTACTATATAAAGGAGAGCTAAGTTTAAGGTTATTAAGGTATCCCTTATTAGTACTTATATTAGTATTATTAGTATATATATAAGTAAGAGGTCTTAGTAGGGTTTTAAAATAGTTTAGATTATACTATTATTATTATTTATATCTTTTAAAGTAATATATAAAGATTATAGTTTCTTAACTAAGTCGCTAATATTAAGGGTTATAAGGCTAATAATAAGAGCTTAAGGTTTTTTAGTATTAGCTTATTACTTTTCCTTTACTATTAGTAAAGGTATTATCTAATTATTTATTTCCTAGTAAGTCTATTACTTTATTAAGTCCTTAACTCTAGCTATTAAGGTAGTTATTACTTTAATTATTAAATCCCTAGATTTTATTTTTTTCTAAATAATACTATCGTCCTCTAAGTATTCTTAGCTTTATAAAGCTACTTATCGCTATATAAATAAAATAGAATAACGAGTTTATACCTTAAAGACTATTTTTAATAAAGATAAGGGTATATACCTAAAGCATGAGTAGTATATAGCTAAGGATTAATAGAGTAATTATAAGCTCCTCTTTTATATAAGCGGATAATTCCTCCTTCTCTTTTACTAGTACTAGTAATTAAGGCTTTAGAGC